ATGAATATGGCGGTTACATTTGTTGTCACTTTTTTGGACCCGCAGTATTTTTCAACAGACAAGCCACAGTAATAGCAAAGAAAGAAAAAATTAAAAATTTAGTATTGTGCCGGAGGCACCGTATGATTTTAAGGCGTCAGAGAGGCTTCGAAGAAATTACTTCAAGCATTTTGATCTTCCAGTCCTTTTATCCTCTCTCTTTGATATCTACAGTTTACAGTCGTCACTGGCAATCGGCTTGTCCGGCTGATACTGTTTCTCTGTCTTTGATTGAAGGCTCAGTGGCCATACTTCAGAAAATGTTACCAGAAAACTTTTGTTGTTGTGGTTTTGACATTGCAAATGTAAATATTTTTAAATTTTGAAAATTTTAACGTCGAATTTTTGAATTCGTCTTTTCTCTCTATCGTTTACATGTGTGAAGTGTTTCAATTAATTTTCTCTTTTTCTGCATCTGTTGCGTTTTTTTTTTTGCAGCTTTTATGAGCATCTCTTAATTGCTCATAACCAGTTGAGAAACATCCAACTGTCCAGTTATGTATTTCTTCTTCTAGTTCAGTAAGGTAATTAAAACTCAATTTTTGCAGTTTGTGGGTGCGCATGGGTTGTTTCTTTGAGTAGGCGTCTACCTGTATCAGAAGTTTGCTGAGTGGAATAGAATAGTCATCTATATTCTAAACCTTTTCCAAAAAAAAATTTAAAAAGTTAGATTTTTTTACGTGGGTGAAAAATTGCTATTTTAAGGTGCCAAGGACTGTAGTTAAGGATTTCGATTCTTGTTCAAATTTTGCTAGTAATCAGGGAAAAGATGATGCGATGCTCTACTTGGTTTTTTTTTATTTTTTGAACGGTTTTTCCTGTTTATTTGCGTTGTTATTTCTTGCACTTTCTTTCTTTTAGATGAAGAAATGAAGTTTTTTAGAGCTCAGTCAGTGAGCACTGCTTGTGCGCACCCAGAGCCTGCAAGAGTTCCTTAAAGCTTCCCGAATTGTCTCGCCACTATGTATGCCCATTCGAGGCTTAACTGGAATTAAAAGAAATTTAAAAAAATTATTTTTTTTTGATGAAACCTTTGCTTTTATTTATATGGAATAACTTCCGAATGGAATCTTTGTGGTCACTGAAAGACACTCAGTTTTTGCTGATAGATCTTTCATAATGTGATGAAGTAAGGAATGCAAGCCAAAACTGGAGACGCAATCCTTACTAATTACAGACTTTCTCGCTTCGTGGGTTTCCTCACTGTTAAAATCGTTTTTAGGGAAGGCGGTCAAAAAAGCAGAAAAACATAAGTCAGAAGATGCCGTCAAACCTAAGGAGAAGAAAAGGAGACACCAGAACGACGCGTTGGTTCCACGCGAAAATATTCCTAGTTTTGATTCAAACCCTTATTTTACAGCAAAGTCTTCTCCAAAATTTGTCAGTGTTTGGTCCTTTGGAAGGATTTTGCACCGATGTGCTATGAGAGTGAGTTGTTTAATTGCACTTCAGTGTTTTTTACCACCAAATTTAAGCACTGTTACTGCTGTACATTGCAGGAGGTTAGTCCGGTAAATCTGACTGACTTTATTTTTTTTGCAGAAAGATCTCGACGAGATGACCAGATGCGTTAAAGACAAACAGAGATTAAGTGCAGATGCATTTAATTGGTCATTTTCTAATGCTTCTCAAACTTCTGTTGAAGGAGAAGCTGTTCTTACAGAGGATAGGAAGTTTATTAGTGCAGTTGCATCTTTGCGTCACAACTTGCAGTCTAAAGCTGATTGGCGGAAAGATAGAGTTCAAAAGGAGGATATTCTTTTGACAGAGGTATTAATTAAAAATATCTTTTTTATTGCTATTTGTTTATTACAATTTTTGGGAAGGTTTCAAAACTTTCATTTTTTTAGCTTTTTGGGACTGTCCATATTGTCTTATTTTTGTAAATGGTATGGGGCCGCTGACCTAGGGGTCTTGAAAATAACTGTCGTTGAATTGCTGTTCAGTTGTGTAACATGCTAGGCTGAGACTGGAGAGAGAAATTTTCATATGCTTGGTCGTGCCACTGCAGCTGTCGAAATGAGTCGTGGAGGACGAGAAGGCAATAATGCTTTGTTAAAATATGGGCGGAACAGAAGCAGCCTCAATCAAGATATCAACCTTTTTCTTGAAAAAGATGTGTCTTTTCAGACTTTAGAATATCTCACTGGAATTAAGCATGATCCTTATAATTCCTTCGTACGTTTTTTATTTGCTAATTCTTCTAATTATTTTCAATTCATCTGTGTATAGTAGCTGATATTTCATCTTCATTCACATTTTAGATTTATCAGTCTCTTTTAGCGTACGTTATATGGTGCCTCCGTATATGTGGCAGTCCGGTATGGTAACAGGAAACTAGCTGCAAAATTGATCGAAACATATGCAAATTACTATTTTAATGATCTTCATATACAAACCCTGAAAAACACCACACAACCTTTGAAAGTCTGCCTTTATTTTTTTGGTTTTTTTTGTTTTCAGTATTTTTTCCGCTTTGTAGGTTTTTTGGTATTGGCATGCAACGAGTGAGTTTGCAGACATTTATGCCAGTGTCGGTACACAAGAAAGGGTTTCAAAACCGTGAAATCACCCCTATGCACACTGCTGCCATTAACCCAAACGTCGCATACTTAAAAGCTTTAACAGCCGTCGAGCCAAACTTTAATATTCCTGATGCAGATTTGTGGTAAAAATAGTGCTTTTAAGCTTAATGTAAATTCATAGTCAAACTTATTGTGCCACGCTTCGTGGGAGGATTGAAAAGAAGTAATGAAGTTTTAGGTATACAATCCATTATGCTGCTGTTTGTGAAAGCCCATCTCCTCTGAAATTCATGCTTGATAAAGGGACATCTTTTAATTTACAGAATAAAGCTAAAGAGCTACCTATTCATTGCGCTGCTCGAGCTGGTAGAGCAGAAAATGTTAAGGTAATTTTTTTAATGGGATTGGTAATTTGTACAACTGAATTAGCATTGAATTTTATCACTACCACAAAGATCGTTGTCAAGGCTTTAGATGACAAGGAGTCGTATTAGTTTAGCATCTTTTTGTCTAGTTACTGCCGTTCAGCAACGTAGAACTCCTTTAGAAACTGTAGTGATTCTTCTTTTGTTCTGCACTATCTTTTAAAATAACGATTTTAGAGCATGAAGAAGATGAATAAAAAGCTTCTCAGACAAGGTTTTAAAATGACGTTTAGCGATTTCTTCGGCTAAATAGCGCAGTTTGTAGGTGCTTTTGGAGGCTTTAAAACGTGTGGAAGAAAAAGTTCACTCAGAAGGAGAGGATATGAGCAACTTGCAAGATGCTGCCGAAGCTGAAGAAACAGTGCCTCCTCCGACAAAGAAAGTTAAGGCAACAACTGCTAGCCAGAAATTATCTATGATAAATGCAAAAGCTAAACTTGGACATACACCTTTGCATTTAGCTGTAGAAAAAAACCACATGGAGGTTAGAATTTGGTAGCTGTAATTTCATCGAGGTGCATCAATGATGGCTGGTTATTGTTTCACATAGCATTATTACATAGTGATAGTCTATTTTTCTTTCAGAGTTGCTGAGTTTAGGACACTATAATCTTTTTATGCTTCAGGGCATTTTTTTAACAGAATGCTGACTTTAGGTAGTGCGAGTACTTTTGTCTTATGAGGAAGTCAATGTTGAAGCTCAGCTTTTAGCATCGCAGAAGAAGCTTACTCCTTTAATAATAGCTGCTCAACATGGATTTTTGTTAGTTTAAGTGTTGTTTTCTTTTTTTTGTGTTTAATAGGAGAATCACTCGTCTACGTTCGGCCCTTTGTTAAGCTGCGATTTTTAAATCTATTTTGCACTTTTTAGGGAATTGGTGGACATTTTAATAGATATTGGAAGTGCAATCGTAGAAAAAGGTGACAAGATGAAACGTGGAGCACTTACCCATGCGGTTATTAATGGTCAGACTCACGTTGTTGCTTCACTGTTGAGAAGGGGCGCGTCTCCAAAATCGGCTGATACATCTGGAAACACTCCGGCGCATTACGCAGCTGCATACGGATGGCACGTTTTTCTTTTTTGGGTTTTTATTAAGACTAGATATCGCGATTTGCTTATCATATGAGATAATTAAACGTGCTTAAGTGATCACTTATGCCATACTTTTTTTGAAACGTTCACTTGTTCATTGCTCCTACTGTAGTTATGACGTTCTTCCGTCAAATATAAAAGTTATTCAGTGTGTTTGACCGCTTTTGCCAGAAATCGCGCCGTTTTTTTTCTTTTGGATATCAGGAGGGATTTGTCTATTGGTAGTAATCAAGTCTTCAAAATTTGGTCTAGCCCCTTTGTCTCAATTTTTTATCACAGTTCTTTAAATCGGCATTCGTATTTTTGTGCATCGTACACTTAATATTGTGTTTAAGTAGTTATATATTGTAGTTGTTGGTCTGGAACAGTTACTTCATTTGAAAATCGCAACTTCAGGTTTGAGTGTCTGGAATTATTGGCTACCGCAGACCCTGAAGCGCTGACGGTGCGTAATGATTGGCAGTTGACTCCTCTTGCAGTAGCGTATATGAAAGGTACTAAAGGAAATTTTATTTCTACTGCATAGTATTGTAATAGTTAAGGCTTCTACTGTTATTTTTTTTATTACATTTTTACCTATATCACTTAAATATGTATGACTGAGTTGAATTGGCTTCTATTGTGATTTCTTGTAAATTTTTTTGAAATCGCTATTC